GAGAACTTGGTTGTGGTTGGTTCATAGATATATCTGGAGTCAACTGAGCCGAGAGGAACCAATTTTTCCAAGTCTTCGGTGTCGGAACCATCATAAACATCATAATTCCTTTTAAATTCATGGATGTATCCACACATGGGTGCACCGACAACATGATATACGGTACCTATGACTTTAGCGCTCTTGATATTAGGGTCCTCGGGAGAATGATTGATGTTTGGAACGAAGATCCCGAAGTGAGCGCGCTGGTGACTAGCTTGTCGGAACTTGGCAAGATATATAGGGCGATGAGACATCTTGAGGCAGAAAAGTAATATAGTAGGAAGGACGAACTAACGTGCTTATCAGCAAGGGAAAAAGATAGGAGCAGGTTGGTTGTTCAACTTGATAACTCACTTGTCGAAGGACCAGGGTTACGTAAGCAGAGCTTTCCCAGCTCCAGCTTACCTAATCAGTTAGATGTATCTGTTTCATTTCACTTACAACTCGAGCTTTTAATAGATTGAGCTTGTATCTGATCCAAGTGCTCATATAACTGATGACATCAGTTTATGGTGAAAGGGACTTAGACATCATAACGCGACCTATATACTTGAGTGAGGCCGTAGCTTGCAAGCTATTTGTGAAGTCTAAGGATATATCGATAAATAAAATATCAGGTAATCAAGAGATAAGCGATAAGGGTTAGGTGATAGATGAGGGAGTGGGGCTCCTGGCTTGACACCAAATTTTATCTACCTTTTAATTACAATCTCTCTAGATCGCATAATAAACTTTATGCTCTTAACTGGAAGCAGGAATAGGGGAGGTAGGTATGTAGGTATCTATCCATCTCTTACCTAATACACACTATGATTCATACGTTCTCTTTTGTGATGTGACTCGTGATCCTTCCTGTTTTCTTTGGTAAAAAGAAATATCCCATATTTTCCAAATGACTGACAATCTACTAACGCCAAGCCAACCATGCCTCTGATGCAATTCATACCTAATCATGCCACGTACGAAATGAGAAAGATAGCTAGGGTCGCTGCAAAGGCAGTCGGAGCCCAAGATTTTGATGCTGATAGGGTGGTAGCTCCGCTATCATGATCATCCGACCCGTCGTTGATCGTATCGAGAGACGCCCTCGCGGGTCCCATAGTCTTGACACATGATAGAGAGGCGTCGACATCAGTTACGAGACTTCCGTTGCCTGCGGAGTAGAAGACCGTGAGCACCGGAGTGATGGCCCACTGAGCTCTCTCCGCATCTTCGACAAGGTCGCTCCCCTATTCAGCAATTCGTCAGATCACAAGCGCGGAGTTAGACACGGGGGGGTGTGGTACATACCGTAGTGTGGTACTCGCTGATCAGGGTGAGGCCGTCCTGCTTCGGGATCACGGGCCAGCAGGTCGACGAAGAGTTCTGCTGCTGGGAAATGGGTTGCGGTGCGCCCTCGCCAGTTAGAGCTAGAAGTTTGCCGCCCTTGTCAGCCACCAAATTGCTGGTTTCATCGAGAACAGTTTTCGACTTACCGGCACCAACGAAATTGCTCCAGTCTCCGTTCGAGATCGAGGCGCAAGCATCATCCCTGCCGTCCTCCAGGTCCCTCTGCAACCTCGCGCACGTGTCTGAGATAGAGGGTCTGTCGTCCTCGTTGGCATACCCTTCCACTAGGGTTCGGGCCCGAGAGACTAAAGCGTCGACGCATAATGAACCCATCGCATCGGCGCATGTCCCCTCGGCCGTAGCAGAAGTCTCATTTTGTCCGAAGGACAGCGATCCGGATGCTCCATGCAGGAATACGGCGCATCCGCCGGTAGAATTGCTCAAATTCAAGTCTGGCGGCGTGCCCAAGTAGAAAGAGTTGTGGAAGGTCCTTTGCGAGTTAGCATCGGTGATGTTGAAGCCTTTGACCCATGATAGGCCCGAGAGCGCCGAATTGTCAGTGGGCACTCGTGTTAACCCAATGCTAGGGAACGACCCGGTGTCTGCGATAGCGCAGTTGTCGTTGACGTTGTCGGCAGCTGCCGGACACTCTACTTCGACGCAGCCGACGATCGTCTGGTTCAGGTCTTGGGCTTGTGCGGCGGCAGCAGCCAGCGCGGTAATGGTAATGGTAGTACGCATGTTCGTCTACGTAAAATGGAGTGGAAGTTGAGAAGGATGAAGTTGGAAGTACTAAGCAAGTGATGAGAATTGGATATGATATATTATGAAGTTGTTTTTTTTTTGGCGACAAAGGAAAGAGGATTAAGTCAACTGACCGATTTTTTTGTCAGATGAAGTTATTCTTGAAGAGCCGAGGCTCTGCAGGTGGGTGGCACAACATGATATTCTAATTGCTGCGCCTGTATGTGAAATAGACATGATGAGTCGGGTCCCCATAGGTAGACCGGATGCAAGGGGTAAGACTAGCTCCCACCCAGCCTCCTTCGGGGTGTTCGATACGGTGTTAAGCGCCTGTACGGCGAGGCTGTTAGATGTGGTGGGATTGACAAGATCACCTGCCCGAAATGGCTGTGAGATCGGACGAATAGCTGCTGTCACGGTGGTATATATTTAGCATATAGTCGGATGCCAAGATGTACGCCAAGAACGCAATCACCAGTTGCAGCTATCCAACGTAATCCCAATAGGGAGAGTCAGCCAAATCATCTGAGCGAGCTGAATGATCTGGGGGTGGCAGGGTAAAGCGGTAAGCCTAGACTATGAGGCTGAAACATTCGACATCGATGGGTATTTACACCAGACAGGAATATCTGTAAGTTCATCTAAAGCTGCACAAGAGGCACTAAAGCTTACCCTGCACTTCCATAGCCCTGCCTCATTTCCGCATCGGGCTTACTCATTCCCTGTTTAGTCAAGCTTCCTAGAAAGTAAGGAGCTCTATCTTGTAGTTGTGTCCCAATGCAACCATCTCCTGTCAAAATACGCCTCAAATCAGCTTATTCAACGATGAACGGGCAGCCGGGTTCGCCGCAACGTTTCGAAACCGATCCTTCTTATGAGAACTTCAATAATCTTCACAGCTCGCGTAATGGATTGACTAAACATAGCAGGAGAAAGCGAGGCTCTGGGCTGCATGGCGGTGCTCTTGGAGATTCCGACTTTGTCCAAGTCCTAATCCTTCGCATATTAAGCAATAGGGGATATGGTGAGGAGGCAAAAATAGAATGAAGCTTCATGTAATTGGTATCAGACTTCGAGATATAAATTCCTGTAGTCTTCGTCGAAACGAAACGGAATAGAACCACAGCTCATCACAAACCAAAGACTCTCAAGACCTCTTTATCTACACTCTTTACAATCCAATCATCTCTTACTCTCACTCAGGCACATTTTACCAATATTTAACATAACTCGACCATCATATTGTCTATTTTATTAGTTCATAATGGCAGCAGCAGGAATCATCGAAGCCATTGGCGTCATTTCGGGTGTTCTCGGCATCATCCAGTTCGGCGCTGACAATTTCGCGGCGCCAGAATCAGTAGGCTCTACTATCCGGGTTACGGTTGGGCTTGATTATAGCGGCGGTCTCAACAACGCCGGCGGTGACCTTCCCGATGTCCGCCTCTTCAACGAGGGCGGCGAATTCATCGGCATCAAGGTTGGCCCTGGTAAGGTCAAGGACGGCGGCTTCGGCGATATCAAGATTGACCACAACGACGACACGACTCAACAGCCAACCTATGCCCTGTTTTCGGCAAATAACGATGCCATATGCATCGCCTATACTTCGATCACATGGCCCAACGATGATAAGTACACTTGGGTCGGTAACTGGGGCCACCAGTGTGGAGGATCTTGGTAAGAAGCTTCATCGTCCCCTATCACGGCAAAGACATACTAACGATAGTAATTTAGGTACTACTCCAACGTGTACATCAGCGGTAGCAACGAGAAGCCCGACTGTCTCTGGATCGACGGCAACAACGACCAGCCGCAGTCCGGGTTCCAAGTCCACTGGCCCGATTTCGTGCAGAAAGAGGGCCAGGAGCCGGTAACGGACGGCGACCAGGGTGCCAAGATAGACCACCTCTGCAATGCCGGACCTCCTTTCAAGATGTACCAGTACGCCGACGTCAAAGACCCGAAGTCAATCACCTACTATCCGATCAGCAACAAGCGTGACGAGGAAACGGCGATTTCCTACGCCCCGCCGACGTACGCCACGTCCGCCAAGTTCCGGCGCGGCTCGTCTCACTACCCCCGGTCGAACGGCACGGACGCCTCCGGCAAGAACCCGCACTTCAACCGGCTGGTCATGAGCAACGCCGCCCAGCACACGGCGGTCGGCCTCTGCGAGAGCGAGACGTCCCTCGGCCCAGACTTCCTCAACGTCGCGGACGGCACGTTCTGCCGCATGTCGGACAAGACGCTGTGGCCCGTCTGCGACGCCGCCGCCCAGATCGTCGACAACTGTTTCAACAAGGACCTCCAGCAACTCATCGTGAACGGCCTCTCGACAAGGGACACGCCATATGAGAACGTCGTAGACTGGACTTCGTCTTAGAGAAGTCTCGTGGGGATAGGATATGGGTTTCGGTTTATAAAGGGGCTATTTACATTGGAAAAGGGGTTGGGCATGGTTTTGGGATTAGCATTTGCTTTTATTACTTATTGATTGTGTATTATTATACATCGTATACTGCTACGAAATTTACCAACTTTCCAACGAAACCAATTTCTTGCATTGCTAGAGCACTCCGAGAGTAGTTCTCTTGTCTTTATGAAACCATTTATAAGTTTATTCCTGTCAATTACTTCTTTTAGCGGTAATAAGAGGAAGAGGAAGTTCGGATTCGGTTAAGCCCATGATGGATGTTAATGAGAGTCGGTTTATGAAAAGATGAATGAATCTGATGCTAGATACTTTCACTTATGGTCTGTACCTCCCTGAAGCAATAACGGGTAATATTATTTCACACAAGCTCTACAAGCACAAAAAGAATTGCGACGCACACAACCTTAAGTACCCGAGGAGAAAAAGAACGAAAAAGGTACAAGAGTAACTGCCCATCCTGGGGTCGAACCAGGGATCTTCTGATTTTGCTGTTTACTAACAGTCAGACGCCTTGACCACTGGGCCAATGGGCACTTGTTACTGACAAATTGATTCGCTAAAGAGGTAATTATTCATAGCACTAAGGTATGATGGTCGGTCACGACCCAAAAAGAATTTCTTCCAATACGAGGTAAGAACACATGTGGTTACCTTAGATATCCATACGATGTGAAGATAGAAGATAAAAAAATAGCTGAAGAGTGCTTCAAGTTTAGTCTGAAACGACTGTGTGGGGAAATAGGTCTGTGCAAGTGGCACAGGTGCGGGGTCACGTGTGAGGGTTAATGTGGCTTTATCATAAGCCACATCTAAGCCTCAAGCCCCGCGCCACTTTCTCTTAGACTTTACAACCTTAGACCGAATACCAGCACTGTTGATTTTGCAATTGCATTACTTTCCTTATTGACCCTTATGTCTATCCAACAGACTGCGTCAGAAAAATAGGTTGATTTTAGCTAGGAGGTAGGCAGAGTATAACGAATCCACCGTTAATATGCAAGCTACCAGAAGGCATAGACACCCCCTTTCCTTCATGATTGAATACCCTTGGGCATCGAAAACGTTGGAACTAATCGTATTCTTTCTTGTATTGTGCATCTTTTGTTAGTCCTTTCTGATGGTGAGAATTGCGTCAGCGAGTTAGGGCAACGCGAGGATAGTTAACAGAAGACAGCCAAGAAGGAACTCTGGCTATAAGGCCGATTATTTTGTCCGCGTTGAATATAAATGTAATGCGTCATGACTTACATAGCTAGAGACTAGTGGCCTAGTCGCTGTTGGTCCCCCTTACATCCGAGACAATGAGGTGAAGAATTAGTTTTGGAGACACATAACTCCGATCACCCTACAGCTTCCATTCCAAGACAACACCACAATGGAATGATCAAACAGTTTGGGGATACACATAACTCCGACTGTAACATTTCGCCAAATGGTGACGTCTTGACTCTTTTTTTTTTCGGATGGGTGTGTACCTGCTCATCTGTTTACTCTACGCAGTAGGCCTACACGATATAGACTCCCTTACGTTGTTGGTCTACTGTTAGGATGTGGCGCATTTAATGCATAATCATATCTTCCAACCTTCAAGAGCCTAGAGCTGCCATATCCATGCTGTGTAACCGATGATGCCCTCTGGAACTAGGTATCACGTTTCACGGAGTTTCTACCCGAAAACTTGGAGCTGGAGGACTGGCACTCGGTGATGTAATGGAAGTCTTTGTCAATTATTAAGCAGATATCTTATGCCACTTATTAAAAGAGCGACCCAGGGTACAACATTCGAGGAGACCTCCGGCCTAAACACATATCTCATTTCATACCTGTCTTAAGGAGTTCCTAGCACGAAAGTCTCTCTTTGAAAGGGCGTTCAAAATGACCGTGCGAGACGATTCTAACCTTGTGATCCCCCCGGGGTCCCTCGTGGTCGTGACCGGGGTGAATGGCTTCATCGGCAGTCATATCGTGGATCAATTTTTGCAGCGAGGGTATTGCGTCCGCGGCACCGTTCGCAGCGTCTCGCGAGACCAGTGGCTGAAGGACCATTTTGAGAAACAATATGGTCCCGGCAAACTTGAGCTCGTTGAAGTCCCCGACATGACGGCGGTTGGTGTGTACGACGATATAGTCAAAGGTGCATCTGGCTTTGTGCACGTCGCGGCGCCACTCATGTCAACCCCGGACGCCAACGAAGCCATCCAGTTCGTTGTCGACAGCACACTCCGCTTCCTGGAGTCGGCCGCAAAGGAGCCAGGGATGAAGAGAGCGGTATTGACATCTTCGTCGGGTGCCTTAGTCTCTGCTACCCCAAACAAGGTTTTCACAATCGACTCGAACATGTGGAATGAGGCTGCCGTGGAAGCGGCAATTAGTTCACCGGACGAGAACACCTTCAAGCAAATGGGCAACGTCTACGCCGCAAGCAAGACCAAGGGCGAGCAGGCGGCTTGGCAGTGGATGCGGGAGAACAACCCGTCGTTCGCGCTGAACACGATCCTTCCTAATGCGAATCTCGGGCCACCTCTTGACGTCGCCAACCAGGGATCCCGAAGTACGCTGAACTGGTTCAAACTTATGCTGGAAAAGGGCGAGGCCGTGAGCCCGTCCGACCTGCCAGGGTTTATACCGCAGCACTACGTGGACGTGCGCGACGACGCGGCGCTGCATGTCGCGGCTCTTATATATCCCGACGTGAAAGGCCAACGCTTGCTGGCCTTTGCTGGTCCTTTCAATTGGAACGATGTTCTGCGGGTCATGAAGAAGACATTCCCAGACCGCAAGTTCGGCGAGGAAATTGCGGACCCGGGCAGAGACATGAGCAAGGTCAAGAGCGAGAGGGCAGAGGAGCTGGTAAAGAGACTCACGGGACACGGGTGGAAGAGTTTACAGGAGGCGGTGGGAGACGCTGCTAAGGGGCTGAATATTTAGTAGTGGCCCGAGTGTCGGCCGAGATTGTGGACGCTGACCGATGGTGGAGCCTGGAAGATAGGGAAAATAAGACGCCAATGATACAAGGGAATCCTGCACTATTCTAACATCATTTACCGAATTCGTCAGCCCAAGAAAAAAAAAGATGGCTTGAATCATTAACAAGACGGGATGCGTATTGTGCCGACTTACTTAATACGGTTGATGTTCCACAACATGGAATTCTCCTCCTCGACGAAGCCTGCAAGAGTGGGGTGAAGTGGGTGGTATTAAGCATGTCAAGATGACAACAAATGGCGTAACTTGAGCCATCCCATTTGTCATGCAGCTCTTCTACACGTAATGAAGGTATATGCCTACATGTAATTAAGATTTCGCCTGCAAGGTACCAAAACTCGAATGAACAAGTGTACCTAATTTAGGCAACCTCATAAAGCGAAGTCTTGCAGTAAACTTCCCATCTTCAACCCCACCCGTTCTTTGAATTCTCACGCAACGCCAACCTCAGTACAAGCTTAATCTCAATATAGAAATGGCTCCCAAGATTTTCTTGTAAGTGAAATAAGACAATGCGAGTGACGTGCAGGAAAGAGAACGACTTGGAAGCTAACCAACGACAATAGAACCGGCGCCACTGGTAAGCACCTAAAACCAAGCTTGGAGCTAGCATAATCCGCCTTGACAGCTCACCAAACATTGGAAAACCACAGGTTATATCGGAGGCGATGCCCTCTACTCGTTAGTCAAGGCGCATCCGGACTATGAATACACGGTGTTCGTGCGGAACGAGGAGCGGGGAAAGTCCGTCGCCGCGGCCTACCCCAACGTCCGGCTGGTCTATGGCAGTCTCGACGATACCGACGTCATCGAGAAGGAGGCCGCAGCCGCCGACATCGTGATTCGTACGTGCAACTCGGAAAAAATGCCGGAAAGGAGGACGAGATTCTGACCTATCTAGACACGGCCGACTCGGCCGACAACATGCCGTCCGCGAAGGCCATCGCCAAGGGTCTCGCGGCAGGCCACACGGCCGAGAAGCCGGGGTACTGGATCCACCTCTGCGGCACGGGGATCCTGACGTGGTACGACGCGGCGCACGAGCGGTACGGGCAGGCTCCGCTCCCGGAGCAGAGGTACCACGACATCGACGACATCGAGCGCATCGTGTCGCTGCCGGACACGGCGATCCACCGGGACGTGGACAAGGTGGTGCTGGCATCCAACGAGTCGCCGGGCGTGAAGACGCTGATCGTGGGGCCCCCGACGATCTACGGGCGGGGCCGGGGCCCGACGAACCAGCGCAGCATCCAGGTGCCCGGGATCGTGGACTTCACGCTGCAGAACGGGTTCGCGCCCATCCAGGCGCCGGGCCTGACCGAGTGGGACAACGTGCACATCCACGACCTGGGCGACTTCTTCGTGCTCGCCGTCGAGGCCGCGCTCGACCCCGCCAAGGCCGCGGACCCCGACGTCTTCGGGCCCAAGGCCTACTTCTTCCTCGAGAGCGGCACCCACCGCTGGAGCGACGTCAGCAAGTGGGTGGCGGCCGAGGCCGCCAGGCAGGGCCTCATCCCCGAGCCCATCGCCAAGGAGATCGACATCCCCCGGCTCGGCACCAACTCCAAGAGCGTCGCCGCCAGGGCCAGGAAGTACCTGGGCTGGGAGGCTAAGGCGCAGAGCCTGAAGGAGACGATCCCCGACGTCGTCGCTTTCGAGGCGAAGAAGCTGGGCAAGGCTTAATTTAGGTACCTAGGTAGGTATATATGCGAGTTTCGGCCGGTTACTGTGATGTTCTGACGTGGATCAAATATACCTATATTAACCATGGCTTGCTACCTAAGGCAAGGCGCCAGGGGTGTCCTAACATGGGCACGTTATGATGCATAGTATGGAAATTCCAATGGCCCATGTAGTTAAATCCACCATTTCAAATTGCATTCTACCCAATATGGCTATCATCATCCTCATCTCATTCGTATCGAAGCGGAGTATGCTTTCAGAAAGGCTTGTAATCACGGGTGCTCAATGTCGAAGTACAGCTTGACCTCGACTTCGTTGCTCCAGCCGGCATCTAGACCCATCTCCTTCCACGCCGTCTCCACATCAATATTTAGCACGTGGTCATCGGCCGCGTTGATGCTGACTGTGTGAGTCGGAATCGGGTCGCCCAGGATGGTGATCATGAAATCCCGCTCAATCGACATGTTGGGAAGACTCGAGATATACACCCCTTTGCATCTAGTTAGTTTCGCGGTTTCAGCTCTCACACTATCGGACCGATGTGACTTACCAAGAACTCCCAAGGCTTTTATTCGGGTATCGAAGAAGACTCTACCGGTATGCAGTAGTTCAGATTGATACGTGAGGATGGCAGCGGCTCCCGTCATTTTCCCGATGAGACCCAAGTTGGCGATGAAGATCCTGCCGTTTGTCTCGCTCTGGAATTGGGTAACGGGGAAGGCCGTGAAGATGTCGTAGTCCCGAACATCCAATGACACCGTCAGCATGGCAGCAGGAGAGCTAGGATATGCGACAGGTGTGACGAAGCCACTGCGGTGTGCGCGCACAATGTACTTCGTCCCGGATAGCACACCCGGAAACCTCG